GCGTGGCTGAGCGTCCTCCACTTCCTTGCACCCACTGGTCCCCATTCTGCACCCCTTTGCAGGGTGCCCTGGAGGAGAGCTGACCCCTAAGTCCCTTGGGCAGTTTTTTGGGCTCTCCTTCTCTGCAGCCTGGGTTTCCCGAGGGACCCAAGAGGGTGCCGGGGCAGGAAGAGGGAGGGCCAAGGCAGGTCTCTCCTCCCCTGCCCTCCCCTCTCCTGCGTTGCTGGGTCTGTTGCTGCCAGAGCAGCTGCCGGCTGGGGCTGTGTGTCTGGGGGATGGCGACTGCTGAGGCACCCTGGGACCTGCAGGGGCTGCAAACGGTGGGCATCATCCTGCTGCTCTGCTCCAGCCTCAAGATACTCCATGCTCTGGGCATCATCGACCTGACCAGGGGAGGTGGGATGGGGACAGGGATGGGGATGGGGTTGCAATGAGATGAAGATGGGGTGGTGGAGATGCTCCTCCTGTCCTAAGGGCTGTAGGGTGCTTAGGGGAGGTTTTGAAGAATTAGTGTGGTTTAGTGCCTTTTTTGTTTGTTTGTTTGTTTTTTAATGGGGGGTGTGCAGGGGGGGGCATTGGAATATCTGGCAGCATTAGGGTGTAGGGAGCTGCGTAAGTGAGGGTGTCTGGGGGCCTTTCAGAGTGTTAGAATATTGGGTGGGAATATTTGTGGACATTGGAATGTGTGGTGCTGGGTGCAGGATTCTATAAATTTAGAGTGTCTGGGAGCATTAGGGTGGAGGATATCTGGGTCTTGAGGCACTGGGATACAGTGATGTGTGGGGTGCTGGGGGATGGAGACTGCCTGGGCTGTTGGAGTCTCAGGGCAATGGGATGCAGAGGGCTGGGCTTTGTCAGATGATGTGGAAAAGAATTGCAGGTAACTGAGGCTGAGGAGATAAGCGTGAGCTGGGAAGAAAGAGCCATCCATGAATGTGGGGTACAGCACCATGCAGGGCAAAGCTTTCTCACTGCTACAGGAATTGGTGGCTATGGGGAAAACATGCGAAAAGAGTCAAGAGCCCCTTTGCCCTCCCTACAGGGCTATGCCTGGGCTGGAGAAAGAAGATGATGCTCTGGGTGTTGAGCTTCCTGGATTGGCAAGTGGGTACTGAGGATAGGGTTGGATGTGGCCAAAGAAGAGAACCCAAAATATGTCAGAGCAATGGATACACAACGTGTTGGTTGTGCCTGATGAGAGTGGGAGTGCAGGGGGCTGCGTGGTGCTGATGCCTTGTTCCTTTTGGCTGCCTTCCTCTACAGCTCAGACAAAGGGCTGGCAATAGATTTTGCATGATACGTTTTGGGGTTGGTTTGCCTCCATCCCTTCTGCCTCCTTGCTGGCACTGGGAATGCTGTGAAATGAACGGACTGCCGATCACATCCCCTTGGGTAGGTAGATCTCAGAATGGGAGGTGTGTGGCCAGGAGTGATCAGAAGAGCAACTAGTAGGAGAGCAGAGGGAGGGGAGCAGAGGAGGATGCTGTGCCCAGGAGGTGCTTTCAATCTTCTTCTGATGGAGGATGTCCCTGAACTCCCTGACACCTGGCTGGGGTGTGGCTGAAGAACATCCACTTTGTCCCTGTGCCTTACTGTGGAGGGTATGGATGGCATCTGGGTAATGGATATGCAGAGCACTAGCTCTCTTGTGGAATACGTTACTTGCAGCCAAGAGGAGCTGGTGCTCTGCTGGGGCATTTTTTTTGGGTAGCTCCTCTGGCACCTTGGATGCACTGGTTCCTGCTGCCAGAGGAGGTGCTGATGGGGGCAGGATGTGTCCCTGTGTGTGGGTTTTGCAGCAGGGAGATGCATATGGCTGTCCAGTCCTGCAGCTTTGTCTGCTCCATTTGGGAGCCCCGGAGCTCCACTATTTCTTGGGATGTGTATCCTGTACCCTGCTCGCAACATTTTGTACATGGTGTGGTCTGAAGAAATTATTATTCTGCAGCATCTCCTTTGGGCACAGCTAGGATATCTGGGAGCACTGTCACAGGCTGGGGATGGGAATGGGGACAACAGTGCTGTGAGCCCCACTTGGCTCTGTGGCCCATTCTGGCCCATGGCCAGTCCCCCCCAGGACTGCTCAGCACAAGGTCTGTGCAGCTGTTTCTCCCTCTGGCACTGGGGAATATCCTGGTCCTGAGCCTTTGCTGTCCCACGATCTGCAGCTCGCGTGGCAGTTTTGCTGCTCCCAGCTCTGTCCCACACCCAGAGCAGGGACTCTTTGGCCCTGGGAGATGCCAGCTGTGATTTCATTCCTCTGATGGATGACTGTCTGGCACCTTTGCTACCCTTGGCTCTGCATTGCTGACTGATGAGAGTAATTTGCAGAGCTGCTGTTGGTGGGACACATCCTGACCTCCCCAGGGCGGCTGGGGAGACTCTTCCTCCTGTTGACCGTCACTGCAGACCCCAGAGAGCTGTGGCTGGTGGCACTGCCTGAGGCTGGGTATTTCCCTGAGTGGCTGAGCCCTGCACAGGGATGATTGTCAGCCACAGGTTTTAGGGGAGCTGGGTTCAGATCAGCCTTGGGATACCAGCTACTCCTGACCTGTCAACTCACCCATGGGGCAACCTGTGTTGGCCCACGGGGCCAAGCAGGGGCTGTGGGTGCTGCATGGCTGGTGGGCTGCTGGTGCTCTGCTCCCCTCCTGGAATGGTGCTGTTCCCTGGAGCTGGGGACGCTGAGGGGGCGGTCTTGTCGTGGGATACACATTTTCCACCCATCATGATCATGCATTTATTGACAGGTTACTGAGAGTGATGGGGGAGTTTTGGCATTACCTGTTGGTTTGTTATTGAGGGTGTATTCTAGCAGGAGGTGCCATGGAAGGGGTGGGTTGGTCTCCCCATCTAGCTGTCGCTGGGAGAGCACTGGTGGCTGTGGCTCTATGGGAGGACAGGGACATTGTTATGCATCTGACTGCCTCTGTCTCCTAGTTTTCCTCTGGGGAGACCATAGAGCAGCCCAGGCTTGGGTCCTCCATGGGAAGGGGGTGTCAGCCCAGCACTGGGTAACCCTCAGCATGGTGGCATTGGCTGGATCCAGCCTCCAAGGACACAACAGCTGCTGGTGGCTCGATACAAAATGGTCTGTGGCCATCCTGATGGCAATCGTTGGGGGCAGGGATCTACCCACTGTAGGTATCTTTGGAGCCAGCCTTCAGCATTCATTTCAACAGCATATGGAGGTGGGGATGGGAAATCCCTTCCCCTTCTGGTGCTACCCAAGGATGGAGTCTCAGTTGGTGTGTGTTTGTGTGTTTTGAAGTTGCCGAGCTGCAGAGTGATGCATGGGAAGTGACAAGCCACTTAACCCAGCAGACCTCCAGCTGCAGATAAAACACTGCCAGCCCTTTTTGTTCTGTGCCAGCCTCTGGATGGCCCTTGCAGGAGGGTGGAGAGCAGAGCAGTATCTGGAAAAGGAGCTGTTGCTGGCAGGGACAGCTGCAATGTGCAGCACATGTTTGGGCTCTGCTCCTCATCTTTGGGCACAGCTGTTTCCCAGCAAGGAGGAGCTACCAGGCTTGCTTGTGGTTTGGATGCTGGGGACAGAAAGAGGGTGGTGTGTCCTACTCAGCAGAGCCCTTGTGTTCACTAAAGCCAGGACAGCAAAACCCCAGTCCTGGTCATCCCTCTCCTGTTTTTAAGCTGCATGTGCTGAATGTGCTCCTTCCCCTGCCCTGGGGACCCTGGAATTGGGCCCCCTTTGGTTTCCTCCTTAAGAAACACCCATGTTCTTTATTTTTTTTCTTTTTCCTTCTTTATAACAAACTAAAGTGTAACTTGCACCTGACCTGACCTACTGCACGTGCCTATACCTGCTGCCCCTGTGAGTCCAACCACAGTTTACTCTCTGTTGCATCTCTCTCGCTGTGTGGTTTCCCTCCTGCCCTGCTCCCTCCCGGCTCCATCACCCTGGCATTGGGTGTTGCTGTGCCCACCCTGTCCCTTCCCTCTCAGCAAAGGGGATACTTCTGCCTGTCAGGTCTGTTCCCACAGCTCAGCTCTGCTGGAGGGACCTGGCCCCAGAGCATCCTTGGAAGGCTGGAAGGTGCAATTTCCCTTTCCCTCTATAAATGAAGGCCCTGGAAGGGTCATAGCTGTGACAAAATAATGGTTTATGTACAACTGATGCCCACTTCTAGGAAAGAAAAGTCCTCTCTCCTCACCTGCCTGCAAACCCTGGAGCAGACAGGAGCCAGGTTGTGCTATTCTGCCAATGCCAAGACCCTAGTCCTCACCCTTGCCCCTGTCACCCCCTGACAAATGCCAGAGGATGTGTTTGTTCATCCCTATACGTTTGCACCTCACTGTCACCCTGCTGTGGATGCCACATCCTTGGAGAGAATTTGCCCTCTTTGAGTGGCTTTGTGTGATGTTCTGCTGGATTCATGACCTCCTGGAGCTATTCTCCATCCCCTAGAATGATGGAGCTGCCTTGGTGTGAGCTCAGAGAGTCCCAGGTTCTGCCTGTGGGCACTTTGGGGCCAACCTGCCTAGAAGTGGTTGCTGGATGCAGACCCATGTCCCTGTCCTGGAGCTGGGCACCATGCAACACCATTTTCCTGGCATCTGGGGCTCAGCTTAGCCCCACAAGGCTGAGAAAGGGCTTCTCTGGCAGCTATTTGCTAGAACCCTAGAAAAACAACCCCAAAACCAGGGCTCAGGATGCATAGGCGTTGTGACCTGCTGCTTGCAGATGTACAGGATGTTTGGATATCTCCAAACAAAGTGACAAATCAGAGCCATAAAGGGACTTTGCACCTTTTGTCCCATTTGTCCCCATGCTGGTATCTGCCTCCCCTCAGAGGCTGGAGCCCAGCATGGCCTTCATCCCCTCCTCTTCCTCCTTTCCCTACCTGCAGCGTTAGTCCTGTGCTGAGTTTGCTGGCTTGAGGCACTGTGGGGGAAGGGAGGGAGGGAGTCTGCAGCCATGGGGCAACACCAGCTGGGAGAGATGGGGCTGAGTGAAACCATTGGGGCCCAAATGGGGGAACAGGGGGGTGGCAGTGGGGTCAGTACAGTGAGGGAACCTACTGTTAATGCAAGGTGACTCGGATGCAATGGCCGTGGGCCAGGCTGGTATGGGGAGTCCCTCACCCAGCCCTGTAGCCTGGCCAAGGCAAAGCCCTGAGCCCCATTCCCCTTCTGGCTGTCTCAAAGCAGGTCCCTGGGCTCGGGTCCCAGTGCTGCACTGGGGTGGGGGTGCATGCTGCAGTCTGGGCTGCATGGGGGGTCCAGTGCATGCTTTGCCTTCAGCCCTTGGGTGCCAGCAGGATCAAACCCAGCCTGAGCTTAGGGAGGATGCAATGCCCTGGCTCAGCCACAGGCTGTTTCTTGGGCTTCATTCTACCTTGACTCCCTGCGGAGCCCCTCGGAGAGAGTCCCCAAGGAGCAGGTATTTGTCCTCAAGGCTAAAGGACAGAGTCTGGCCCTGCCATTTCCTGACTCTCTGCTCCTGGGAGTCACCAGTGCACCCTGGTATGATGGGGGTGCACAGAGGCGCTGGGTGTGGGTAGCAGGGTTGTCCTCATCCTTCCCAACGATGGATACTCCAGTGCTGGGTTTGTCCTGGAGCTGAGCAGGAAGGTCGACCAGAGCCTGGGCTGGGTTTAGCCTTCCTGCTCCTTCAGCCTCATGCTGCATGTGCTGCCTCTGCTCTCATCACCCCGCGCCGGGTGCCCAACCCTGCTGCCCGTCGGGACCGGGGGCTGATGCTGTGTTAACTCTTCTGCTTGGTGACTCCTTCTTTCTTCCAGGCAACCCGCCAGTCCAAACTAAAAAAGCGCTGAAGCAGCGATTCCTCAAACTGCTGCCCTGCTGCCGGCCCAAATCCATCCCCTCGCTCAGTGAAAGCAAGTGCTTCTTCTTGCCTTTGTGTGTGTTTGTCCCGGCGGTGCTGCTGCCTGCTCTCCGCCCTGGCCCTGCCTGCGGGAAGGGGATGCCTCCACCTCTCCCCTGCCCTGGCTGTCAGGATCCTGGCTGCCCTGGAGGGGTCCGATCCCATGGGCTCTGCACCCACCTCTGTCTTTACCTGCTCACAGTCTGGTTTTCTCCTTCTTCATCCCCCTGGAGCGGCTCCCACGGGATGCACAGCGGCAAGAACCGCTTGAGAGCTGGCTCGGGGCAGCGGGGCCCTCCCGGCACTGGTCTAAGGGGTGGGGAGTTGTTTCTCTAAGTTTAGGGTTGGTTTGGAGATGGAGGTGTGATGGGGCGATGAAAGAGGCTGAGCAGGGAGTGAGTGCAGAGTCCCTTAACCCCCTGTTCTGGGTGTGCTTGGTTCCTTGTTGAGTCCAAGCTCCTGGTCAGGATCTCTCCCAGCTCCGCGGTGCAAGCCAATCCCCCCTGGGAAAAGGTGAGTATGAAGAGGCAGGGTCTGAACTGTCCCATGAAGAGGGAGCATCTGCTGTGTGCCCCTCTTGGCTGAGTGGGGTCTAGGGGTGGTGGTTGCTTCAGGCAGGGGTTGTGCAGCTTGGAAGATGGTGGAGAGAAGCCGTCGATAAAGGTGGGAGCACAGTGGGCAGAAAATAATCGGGAAAGGCTGGGGGAAAGGGGGCATTTGGGGCTGAGAGTTCTGAGAGGCAATTCTCCTGCTAGATGTGAGCCCTGGTGCTGCAGGACATCAAGGGTCTGAACTCCACAGGGCAGATGCCTCTTCTGGTGAGAGGAGAAGGGCAGGCAGGGAGGGTTTCAGCACTGGGGGATTTTCACACCTTTTTTGTGCCCAGCCTGGGCTGTGCTGGAGGAGGTTATTGCCCAGTGTCAGTCTCTGGTCTGTAGCCAGGCTGTCTGTGAGTGTCCCCTTCTGGGGGGGGAAGCAAAGCATCCCAAAAATGTGTCAGCCTGGGCAGGTGTGAGAGGACAGTGTGTGCTGTGCAAGGTGCCTCTCCTGCCCCCTGGCATGACAAGATGGGCAGGACAGTGCTGGCCTCAGCCACCCTCTCTTCCCCTGGGTTCCTTGCAGACAGTGTTGAGGATGAGTTTGAGCTCTCCACCGTCTGCCACCGCCCCGAGGGGCTGGAGCAGCTCCAGGAGCAGACCAAGTTCACCCGCAAAGAGCTGCAGGTCCTGTACCGAGGCTTCAAGAACGTGAGTACCCCTTGACCAGCTCTAATAACCCCCACCTCTGCTGCTATGTCCACCTCGGAGTGGTGCTTTGTTTGTGAAAGGTTTTGGAACCTTGGGGTTGAAGTTTATATAGGGCTACAGCCTGATCTTACCTCCAGGGAGCTCAGTGGGGAGACCTGATCCTGTACTCTGTTTCCTTGGGTGCAGAGAGCCCCCTTCCTGGATGCCTGGGATTCAGAGCCCCTCCAGTGAGGGGGGCACTCCAAAAAATAAGGGAGATGTTCCAAGCAGCCTTTCTAGCCACCCCTCTAGGTGCACAGGGCTTGGGGGCAAGGCAAGGGAACCACAGGTTTTTAGGGAGTGCTCAGCCCTTTTTTGCAATGTGGAAGTGATGCTGTGACTTTGCTCTGGCAGGAGTGCCCAAGTGGCATTGTCAATGAAGAAAACTTCAAGCAGATCTATTCACAGTTCTTCCCTCAAGGAGGTGAGTGCCCATCCCCATCCCTGTCCCCATACACATGGGTGCCTCTGTGGGGCACCCCCCAATGCTGTCTGCCTCCCTGCAGACTCCAGCACCTATGCCACCTTCCTCTTCAACGCCTTCGACACTGACCATGATGGCTCCGTCAGCTTTGAGGTGAGCTGTGGCCCAGGAGGGGATGATGGGGTGCAGTGGGACAAGGAGAGCACATCCCTCCAGGGACCACTGCTGGAGTCAGCAGTGTTGTTGTTGCAGATGGATGAAGAGCTTTGCAGGCCTAGTGGTGTTTGTTAAATTTCCAGGGGCAACAGAAAACCAATGAAAAGCAAAAAAAAAGGAGCTTTCTGTATTTTCTGGTTAGGGTTGTGTAGGGACCCAGGCCGGCAAACACAGCCATGAGTGGGTCTTGTTCAGGCTTTAGCTGAACAGCACATCATGATGCACATTGTCCTTTTGGTTGCTGCGACCCAAGCGAGTAGTGTGAGAAATGTATGGGGTTCAGCAGTTTTTTCTCCCTCAACTCTTTTTGATACCCAACATTTCACCTTGTCAGCCCCAAGGCCCAGGACACATCAGCTTTGGGGCTGAGTTCCTCTCTGCAGGAGAATCAAGCAGGGCCGTACCCTCTGTGTCTCAGATGCCCTTTGTGGCTGTAACTCCTGTTTGCCTGCCTTGTCCATCCTTGCAGGATTTTGTGTCTGGGCTGTCCACCATCCTGCGGGGCACCATTGATGATCGCCTGAACTGGGCCTTCAACCTCTATGACCTGAACAAAGATGGCTGCATCACCAGAGAGGTGGGATGGGAGTATCCAGACTGGTCCCCAGGGCCAGCACAAGTCTGCACCTGGCAGGGACCAGGGCAGAACTCGGGGGTATTGGCTGAGCTTTGGAGGAGAGCTCAGTGGATCAATATTTAACTGAGCTCAGCTTTGCAAATGTCCCTCCTGTCCCCTGGCACTGGTGTGACTCTGGGATGGAGGGTGGATGAGTGGTGTGCAGCTTTGGGGCTCCACTGCACATGCATGTGCACACATGGCCCCACACTGTGCACAGAGCCAGCACAAATACATTTGAGCACCCCACAGGTCCTTCAGGAGCATCAAGAAGAAGGTGCGGGTTGGGGACCAGGTGGAGGCAGAGCTCTGTGTTGACACTGCAACCCTTATCCCCTTCCCAACAGGAAATGCTGGACATCATGAAGTCCATCTACGACATGATGGGCAAATACACCTACCCGGCCATGCGGGAGGAAGCACCGCGGGAGCATGTGGAGAACTTCTTCCAGGTGAGCTGAGTACATCCTGGGGAAGCAGAGCTGCAGAACAGAGCTGCAGTGGGTGCAGTAGAAAACACCTCACTCTGGGGATGAAGCAGGGCTGTGCTGGTCCTGTTGGTGCTTGGGCATGCTTGGGGCCGGGGATGCACTGTGTCTAGCCCCTGTGGGATGTGGGCAGGGGGCACCAGGTTCTCCCTAGGGCTGGGGCTGTCCCTGCTATGCCCCCTGTGCTGTGCTTGTCTGCAGAAAATGGACCGGAATAAGGATGGCGTGGTGACAATCGAGGAGTTCCTGGAGTCCTGCCAGAAGGTAAAGTCAACAGAAACCTCTGAGCTAGGTGACCTCCCTGTTCCTTGGGGACCTTTGTCCCTCCTGCTTCCTTCCTGCAGAGAGGGGGTGAAGCCAGGGCTCCCAGGGTCAAGGCTGGAGCTCTGCTTTGGCAACTGTACCCATGCCAGCTTCCTCATACAGATGAGGAGAGCCATGGATCCCAGAAGGGCTTGGAAACTGCCTGTAACCCCTGGGGCTCTTCTCCCATGTGCCAGAGTTGCCATGAGGGTAAAGCCAGGTTTGGGGGAACTGCCCAGATTGCTGTTCTGTGCCCAACGTGCCTTCTTCCCACCTGCTCCTGACAGGATGAGAACATCATGCGATCCATGCAGCTCTTCGACAGCGTGATTTAGCTCCCGGACCTGCCTCCAGATGAGCTCTCCTGACACTGGGCCCAGAACCTTCTTCTCTCTCGACTTTTCCTTTGAGACTCCCCTCCTCTGGCTGCATAGACACCCCCATGGAAAGGGGTTCTTTCCCCGAGATGCAGTCAGCGCCGAGATCTTCCCTTTCCCCTGGCCCAGCTCTGCTTTCCTCCGGGAATCCCAAGCAGGTGCTCCCAGATGTTGGAGCATGGGCATGGCTGGCACAGGATGAGAATTTCACCTGGATGGACCTCCCTGTACCCAATCCCGGTGGAAAAGATGCATCCTTGGGCTGCAATAGAGGTTTTCCCCTGCACACCACCCTGTGCAGCCACAGCTCACCTCCCCTGATCCTCCCCAGCCCCAGGAGCCCCCAGTCCTGGCTCCAGCCCAAATCCTCCAGCAACACTGTCTAGAAACCAATAAAATCTTGCAATGGGCACAATCAGTGCCTTGACTTCTTCCCCTGCCCTGGCTGTGCCCTGCTGTGGGAAGCATGTCTGGTGTATCCACTGTGAGCCACCAGCCACCCTCCCTGTCCTGACACTGGGCCAGTGGGTGGGCAGAGGGGCTGTGCCTGGAGAAGGACATGAGCCCTTGAGTTCATTGCTGTATGAGCTATGAGGAGCATCCCCTGATCCCAGGCATCCTGGTTAGACCCTCAAGGCTCTTCCTGACAGGGGCAGAGGGGAGGTGATTTGTTGTGGCACTTCTCCCCCAGGATGAACAATGCAGGGCTGGGAGAGCTGCAACCTCAGCCCCTGTCCCTCAGGTTTAGGGTGCTGGTACATGGGGACCCCAGAGATCCACTTTGAGGCTCCAGTGGAGAGACACTCTTTCTAACCCTTCCTGAGGACATGACAGCCAGTGTATGGGGACACGTGGAAGAGGGAGATGGGCTGGTCTCTGGTGGCCATTCTGGCCCCATAGGGCTCACAGCCATGCTCCTGGCATTGTTTGCCCCTAACCTTGCCCTGCCCCTGTGCCCTGGCCCATCCAAGCCCACCTGCTGCCCCGGGGACTGGAGAATGAGCAATGAGGCAGAGAAGTGTCCCCACAGGCATAGCCCTGTGCTGGTGACGTGGCTGAGCTGGCAGCTCCTGGAGGAGAAAGTCGAGGCTGGGGTTAGGCAGGAGTCACTTCCCTGCTGCTGGCAGGCCGGAGGGTCACCTTGGGGCAGGGGACTCTTCTCCTTTTCCCAGCACGGCCATGTGAGAGCCTGCTTGGGGACCTTGGGGACAGGGACCCTGGGTGTTTTTTTCACCACCAGCTCCTTGGAGATGGATGTGTGCAGGCAGGCCTGTCCTGCCCACACACCACTCCAAGTCATAGCTGGGAGAGTGATGCCCATGGGCTAATGATCCCATGCTAACTCCAGCAGCTCTTCACAGGCACTGGGAATGTACCTAGGCCTGGCAGCCCCAGGGAGAGTAGCTTCACTCTCTGTATCCCTAGCCGGAGGTGGTTTGGGGTTGGCCTGATCTGTGATGTCTGGGATCAGCACCCATGCTGGGCCAGACCCAGGCTGAGCCCCTGGGGTTGGAGACATTAGAATTTAACCTCTGGGGCTCTAAGCCAAAGCTACGGGGCTGCTTCCCAGGGGGACTGTCCCTGTCCCAGCCCTTGCAGATATCACATGTTTTTTAGGCGCATTCAACACATTATTTATCTCACAGACATTATGTGTTTTTTAGGTTAATTCAACGCACCGTTCATCTCACAGATCTGTTCCCAAGTTTGCTGTGGGGCTGAGCTCCCACTTGCATTCTCCTAAGGGTGGGAGGGCCTTTACCCGTCCATCTCTTTGGCCCTGTTCTCCCTCCTCCCAGCTCTCTGGGGTACCCATTGTTCGCTGCCACGTGGAGCACCTGCCACCTCCCCCCTCACGCTGTAGGTCGCATGGTGTGACCCCCCCTGCCCTGGGGCATGGTGACCCACAACCCGCTTGGCATCTCCAGTCTGTATATTTTGTATTATAGTAATTATATGAGTTAAAAAACAAAACAAAAAAACCAACAAAAACCAATAAAATCTAACCACAATCGCTATGCACACTACTGTTATGTCTTTGCATCTGTCAGCTGCTTGGGATGGGAGGGCAGGATAAATGAGGGGCCTCTGCAGAGGGTTGGTATCCTTTTTGGGGTGCTGTGGTTGCAGGATGCTCTGCATGGGTGCTCTGGGAGGTTGCATGGGGGACAGGATGCACACTGAGCTTAGCTATGCTGTTGATGCTCCTGTAAATACAGACATTCCCCTGCTAAAGAGGCTGTAGGTGTTAAGGTTAGAAAGCTCTTACATCAAGTGTGTCACATTTCAGGAGTCAGGCTGCTAGGTGTGTCAGAGATGCTGCTGGGTGGACCCAAGCTTGGGAACAGGTGACCCTTGTTATGATGCAGCATTTAAGGCTGAGCTAACAGGAACTCAGTCATCTGCCACCTTGAGGAAGTAGGTGTGGACTGGGAAGGGGTTTTTCTTTAGGGCAAGCATTGGTTGTTGGAAAAGTCCAGCATTGAGAACTGGGAGAAATTAAGTAAACATAAGAAAGTAGCAGAAAAAGAGCACAATAGACCTGGTGTGGGACAGCAAAATGGTCCAGCATTCTACAGTCTTGTCCAGGAACTGAAAGCTCAGTGCAGAGAGCTGCCTGGAGACCAAATATCTTAAAAGGATGGGCTCTGGCTGTGGGGGGAATTACCACTGTGGGACTGGGTAGGCAGCAAGTCTGATCTTTCCAAAGCCTCTGACTCTCCAGGGACCTTTTTGGGCTGCTGGCTACCACCCAGGGCTGTATATGTCAGTATGAATGGGCCTGAGCACGTTTTGCCCTCTAACCCACTTTTCCCGGTATATCCTATCCCCTGAGCTCTGTTGGGCTGGTTGCTATTTTGGGCAATGACATCCAAGGGCTTGATGTGCCCTCTTGTGGCACAGGGATGCCATGAGCCACTGATGGGATCCCTTGGGTCCTTGTCCCCAGGGTGAAGGGCAGGAGAGAGGCTGAGGTGATAATGGGAAAAACAGCACTGTGGGGCTCAGCCTTCCAATGCTGCCGTAGCCTTCTCACACCAGATGGGAAAAGGTTTATGTAGGGAGTGTAGCTTTTGGAGTGGGGAAGCATCTCTGGGAGTCAAAAATAATCTGTTTAGCTCTCCCCCAAACAGGACCTCAGGAAAAGCCTGAGAGCAGGGGGGCCAGGATCCTTTAAGGTGTGCCTTCAGCTCACTGTGAGAAGCTGCTGTGTGAGCCAGGGCTTGGATAAGCCTTGCTACTAGGAAGTGGCATTTAAAGGTGGACAGACAAGTCATTTGGTCTACGATGAGAACAGAGATAAGAGCTGATGGATCCTTGGAAAAGGGCAGCCTTGTGTTGTTTCCAGACAGATTTTTCCCCAGCTTTCAGAGGAAAAATTAATAGTAGCTATGTGGTAAAACAGCTGAGCAACTGGATGAGGCAGCTGATACAGCCTGGGGCAGCATCCTGAATACTGCCTAGAAACACAAGTATTTTGTAAAAGGATGAGATTCCAACACTGGGAGAACTGTTACTGTAGGATTATTTTGCCATGATTAGAGATATGAACACTCCTTCATACGGGGTCTTTTGTGACCCTGCAGTCACTGCCCAGCTCTGGAGGTGTGTGAAAGTCCTGTGTGTTCTCCACCCAGATTCTATGCATTTCTCCTCTCTAACCCTTCTGTAAAGTCTGCTCGTGTATCAATACAACATAGCTGGTTTCTATTTAGGGTATCTGTACAATTTCTATTTTTGCTCTTTGAAAGCTTAGGCCTGATGATGGTAACCAGAGATGCCCCTTGGCCACGGCTCTGCTGCAGCTTCCTGAGCACAGGTATTGATGGAAACGCAGCCGGCTTCAGTTTCTTGTCATGCCCGAATTGTTATCAGTGGGAATAAGTGGAAACGTGGCTGAAATGGGATGTGTCTGCAGGCGTTCTCCAGCCCTTCCTCATGAGCTGGGGCTTTGGCAGCTCTTTGTTAACTTGTTTCTTGCTGGCTGGTGCCTGCTGCAGTTTCCCCAGTGCTGGGAAGGCTGCCAGGATCACCTTGCTGGCCTCTCCATAGTCACAAGAGAGCTCACCTCAGCCCTGGGGTCCCTTATGCTCCCATGCGGCTGCAGCAGGAGATGCTGTGTGACCTCAGAGCCCTGCTCTGATCTACTGATATCATCTCGGCTTTACATCCCACCCTTCAGCATTCTCGTGGCCTTTTCCAGGCAGGAAAACACCTCCAGGCCATAGGCTGTGCCGTGCCATGCCGGGAGGGTCGGAGCATTCCCGCCGCAGCTGCTCGGTCTCCCCTCCGCGCCGCAGCCGCGCCGGGCCTTGCTGAGCTTGCGGGGCAGCGCGAGAAGTAGGTCGCGTCTCACGGGAGCCCGCGCGCCCGCCGCTCCCGCGCAGGCGCGCTCCCGCCGAGGCGCTGCGCCGCGAGGCGCACGCGCAGACCAGAGGTAAACACTTCATCTCCCCCTTTCCCCCTCGGCGCCGCTTCCCTACACAAACCCCATGGCGCATGCGTGCTGTCCCACTGCCGCTTCCCCCTCAGTCTCCGCGGCCCCTCGCGCGTGCGCCGCGGGCGCGCGCTGCCACCCCGCGCAAGCGCCCTGAGGCCGCCGCGGCGTCGCCCCTCCCGCTGCCGGCCCCGCCGAGCACGCGCAGTGCGCGCTCTCCCCCTCCCCGCGCCTGCGCAGCTCGCGCGCACCGCCCGCCCGCCTCATTCCCTGAGGAGCCTCCCGCGCCCCAGCCCGTTGTTCCCGTTCCACCGGCGCGGTCCCGGCCGTCCGTGTCCCTCGCGCTCTTCCCGCCGAGGCAGACGCTTCCCCTGCCCCCGCGGCGGTCCCTCGGAGCGGGGCGGCTGCGGGCGGAGCGGCGCGGACCAGTTGGGGCCGGTTCCCCGCGCAGGCGCAGCGCCCCGTAAACAGGAAGCGGCGGCGGCCCCGGAGCGACGGAGACAAAGGGGCTGCGGAGCGGGGACGGCAGGGACCAGGCTCGGCTCGGCCCGGCCCAGCGAGCGGCGGCGCTGGCGGCGGGCGGCAGGATGGTGCAGAAGGAGGGGCAGGCGGCGCTGGAGGAGCCCCAGGGCAGTCCCAACCCGGCCGGGGTGCCCGGCGCCCCCTTAGAGCCGCCTGGCGCCACGGCAGGGCCGGTCCCGGGGGGTGAGGAAACGGACACCGAGACGGAGACCGCGCTGGGCTCCCGCCGCTTCCTGTGCGGAGTCGTCGAAGGTGAGAGTTTTCAGAGGGAGTCTCCCGTGGGAGGCAGGGGGTGCGGGAGAATGGGGGGTTCGGTATCCGCGGGAGACCGGGGGTGGGTCCCAGCTGGCTTTGCTTTGCCGTCTCCTCCCCCGCCCGGAGGAGCCCGCTCGGCGGGGAGGCGGTGTGCGGTTCTTGGCCGGGACTCCGCCAGTGTGGGGAGGAGCCGCGGCTCCCGGGCGGGGCTTCTGCCCCCGGGGCTCGTGCTGGAGCGGGGAGCGCCCTTTGATGGCAGCTGTGCGGCGGGGCGAGGGCAGGCCTGGCACCCAGCACGCCCATGATTCCTCAGAGGGGCTGAGGCAGTGCTGGGGCTCGCCTGCTCGTACGTGTCTAAAGGGGGAAGTAGGAGAGAGCATAGCTACCGCGCGATTATTTCGGCTGTGCGTGCTCTTCCCTGCGCTCCAGAGGCTCACATTTAGTCCTGAGTAGGGAGCAGATGATTCTGTAGACATCTGCTCAGTAATTAATATTAAATACACCTTGCTTTCTAAAGTGTTACAGCTTATCATTTTGATTAAAGCACAGTCCTCTGTCTTTTAGCGTAGTTGCACCATTAAAAGGTTTAAATTCTTGTTGAAGCTGCAGAATAAAGGAGCTTCATGCAGTTCTCAGTAATGTGTTTCCGACAGGTCAGCTAAAGTAGGTGGTTGAAAGTCAGCGGGAGAAATGGTTTATTCCCAATGTAACAGTTGGGGGAAACTTGTTTCTTTCCCGTGATCTCTTAATATTTCTGTACCGATAATGATTTTCCAGTAGGAAAACAAAATGATTAGCAGATGAAATGGAGAGGGAAACAGGCAGTTTATCAGAGTCAGTAACTGCTTTGCTTTGCAGACTGTTTTCTGTTCGTGTCTTAAAAAAAATAATTTGGCTTCTGTAAATATGACTGTGAGAGGTGAATTGGTAGGGCTTAAATACAATCAGTGGAGAAAAATGCCTTTCTTTTGCTAATATACTTAATTCTGTGAAGGTAGATGCCAAATTGAAGGCTTTGGAGATGCTTAACAGTGAGGAGAAATACAGATTGTAACAACATGTTTTCTCATGTTCCTGCTGATACACCTGGAACATGACTTGTTCATCCAGGTTTCTATCAGAACCACTGAGAATACCATAATAATTTTTCTTGTCATGTTAGTTACATTGTTGGTTGCCTCAGCATATATTTTGTTGCAGGTGTTCTTGACTGTACTGTGCACAAAACAAAGCACGAAAATGTCCTCTGCCCAATGAAAGCATCAAACACTGGTTAGGCGTTACCAGTCTAACAATAATATGTGTATGGGAAAAAAGGAAGAGGGGAGTGTTAAAAAAAAAAAAAAAAAAGCTAACAAAAACCCACCACAAACAGAAAATCAAACTTGTGGTGAATGAGGTAAACGGTAGTGAGTGAAAACATGTCTTATTAGTGACTCAAGGAAATTATAGATTTAAGAGAAAAACAGGAATTAACTTCAGTAGTGTAGATAAATGCTAAAACAGAGTAGTGGTTAACACAGACTAAGATGTAATGAGATTAGAGCGCTGAGATGGAGAATTTGGATCTTTGGTAGAAAAGGCAGAGGGCAATTAGCCAAATACTGACTGTGCACTCTAAGAATGTGAAGAGCATATGCCTCTTATCAAATTCACTGTTTTGCAGAGTAATAAGGTCTAAGAGATTGCTGAATGCAAAGCTTTGGTGCACTGCCTCTAGGATGTCCTGACTTTTAGTGATGGAGAGCATGGTAATGGGATGAGGTATTTTGGCATGATCTGTTGACTTTGTATTAACCTGACATACCTGAG